CTGCAGGTTGGGGACTGACTGGCTACACAGTAGCTCTGAAGAAAAGGACCTGGGGAGTACAGGGGACAATGAGCTGAATAAGCCAGCAGTGTGCCTTTGTTGCAAAGAAGGCTAAGGACATACTGAGCTGCATTCGTAGGAGCATTGCCAGCAGATTGATGGAAATGATTCTCCCCTCTATTTGGCAATGGTGAGGCCAAATAGAGTACTGTGTCCAGTGTTGGGCCCTCCACTACAGAAAGGAGACAAATTGGAGAGAGTCCAGCAGAAGGCAACAAAAATAGTTAGGGGGCTCAGGCACATGAGTGGTGAGGGACTGAGATAACCAGGCTTATTTAGTCTGAAGAAGAGAAGACTGAGTGGGATTTAATAGTAACCTTCAACTATCTGAAGGGTGGTTACAAAGGGGATGGAGTTAGACTGTTCTCGGGGGTAGCAGATGACAGAACAAGGAGCAATGGTCTCAAGTTGCAGCAAAGGAAGTTTAGGTTAGATTTAAGGAAAACTCTTTCATGAGGACGGTAATAAACAGGTTACCCAGAGAGGTTGTGGAATCTCCATCCTTGGAGGTTTTTAGGACCCACCTAGACAAAAGCCTTGGCTGGGGTGATATATTTGTGGATAGTCCTGTTTTGAGCAGAGGGTTGAACTAGATGCCCTCCCTTGGTCACTTTCAACCCTAATTTTCTATGATTTATGATTCTATGATTCATTTCCTTGGTTCCATAAGAGTGATTGTATTTTTAAAAATCTATGAAGTCCACAGTCAAAGAAGGATCACAGTTTAAAGAATTCAACAGAGGCTAGCACATGTGCCCTAAAGCTTGTAGTATTCCAATTCTGAAATAATTGAAGGAACAGATGACATACAGAAAGAATACCAGGGATTGTAACTCAAGTAAAACAGATTGCACTAAAGAGAATGGAAGTCTCTCAAGTTTTGTTCAGCTAGTTAGTTGGGAGACACAGGACTCCTTAACAGTTTGCCGGAAAACCTGACTGGCATTTGATTCAGGAGTGACCTACAAAACAAGCAGTTCATTTTCAGGTGATGCACTATTTATTAAAAACGGAACCCAGGAAGGGATAACACATCTATCATATCTCAAACAGTGAAAGAGCCCAAACCTAAATGGTGTGGATGGAACAATAAAAGCCTGTTTACTGGTCTCAAATCCAGTACAATGGAGATAACCATTAAAATTATATCCAAACAGCACAAACCTGCTGTTCAAAGGCATAGCCTACCATTTAATCAGAGGAAACTCCCTGGTATAGTTACCAGTATCAGCAACATTACAGCATAATCCTCTATCTGGGTCAGAAGGTCAATATAACCTATCAGCTATACACCTTTTAGCCTATTAGCATTTTCAAATGTTCCTGTTCTCTGAACTTCTGAAGAACTGACAGAAATGTGAACTTTTGCTGTATTCCTAAGTGGTATCAACACACAACATAGTCAACATCCAATTTGGATAGTGTCTATAAGAACTGTTTTGGAGTTTCTCCTAAAGAAATCTTATTCCATTTCACTTGATTAACAGTAAATACTGCTCATATTATACCGATAAGCATGGTCTCAATAACTGCAAACATAATGATTGGGTATAAGTTAATATATAACATGATTAGCAAAAAAGAACGTGGCTTCACTTGCAATTATTAAATTCCAGCTCAGTTTTGCTTTGTCATTCTTGCATTCAGGTGCCTATGTGAAACAACACTTATCGGACGTTATTCCACAATTGTATATTTTAATCTCTAAACTGCTTTCTGTATAGTGATAGGAAAATGTATTGTGCATTATAGCAAAAGGTCAGACATACACGGTCCGATTCAACTTATGCTTTAGATAACTACTCATAATGGCTAGGGACAGAAGTTACACATAAACTGGTTTAAGTAATCAGAGGCTGGTTTAAATCTGTAATAGAACAGAAGCTCAGTGCACATAAACCAGTTTCAGAATGGCTGAAATTAGTTTAAGATACCCTAGTTGAATGTAGTATCAGACTTAACTGATTTGGGTCAAACCAGTTTATAAAACTTCTGTCCCAGACCCTTTCCTGGTTTAAGTTAAATCACAGTCCCCCAGCATTCCAGGATGCTTCCCAGCCCTGGGCTGGGCTGTGTTGTCTGCTCCACCAGACAAGGGTTGGGGGGTGGGTGGCAGGGGGGAGGAGGCAGGGACTGCACCCCCCCAGGCAAACACCAGCTGGGGTCTAGGGCCAGGGAGGGGGTTTAAACCCCTTCTCCTGGTAAAACCCCTCCTCCCCCAATTACAGAGATGCTCTGCCCTGCTAAACTTACTGAAAGTTACTGCTGGCTGTGACTGTGGGCTACAAATCCCAGAGACACCTAGAAGCAAGAAGAGGAAGTGATGAGCAACACTGCAGAGTCCTGCTTCTGTGATTCTGGACTGAAAATCCCAGAAACCTCTGGGGCAGCAGGAAGAGAAAGTGAACCCACAGCCCATGGCTGGCTACCCGCCCCTGGCTGGCTACCTGCCTCTGGCCTGAGCCACTGCAGGTATGTGGCTGCATTTCCTGAATCAAAAGTGAACATGTGTCTAGTTGTTTCTTATTTTAATCTCTGCAGCTTAGACTAATCTGCAAAGACTTAATCGATTCAGCCTCGGACTTTTTGACTGTATGTACTTAGCCAATATGAATCAAATCTCATGGAACTTTGATCAATGTTGATGCAAAGCTCATGCATATCTATCTGAAAGTAGCATCTATATTTTCACTATGCCAATTCTCCCATACTGCTCATTGTATTCAGATACCTGCCTATTGAGTTAGCTCATCTCCCCACTGCTCAGAAAAGTTTCCTATTTATGTTTTAGAGAACTGCACTGAAACTGATGTGCCAATTAGAGAACCCCTCTGTGAGATCTGTTTAAATTGCACTCAGGTTGTTCTTACTTTTTATGGGAAATGCCACAGGATTAGGTCTCTAATATCTGTGTAAGCTTCATAAAGAATGACTCTTAACTATGCACTGTTTTTTCTTAATTGTGTCTGCTATATATAACAAGACCATTTAGGAATGTGGGGGGGGGCATTGCTTTTACTTGAGCATGAATCAGAAGAACTCTTTTATTGCTATTGACAGAAGAGTAAATGTTGCCATCCTTAGTCAGTGCTAACAACAGTGCCTTAGTATCAATTATACATTACTGGGAAATAAGTTTGAAAAACAGAGCCATCTTCCATAAAAGGCCCCAGACGCACAACCCCTTAAAGTACGGATGATGACAACTCCTTGTTAGTGGAACATGGATTAAGAAAATATTCCCTATGGTCTTCAAATCTATAGCTATTGCTTAATTTGTCTTATATATGCTACTGAATACTGGAACTGGAGAAGTGGTTTCCTGACAGTAAGTCAGTTAAAGGCACTACTATATATAAAAGATGATATAGACTGGTGGTTTCAACCTTATTGCAAGGTAGACTGTCACAAACCACCATGTACAGAAAGCACAATCACTAGCCTCTGTGCAAGAGAGGCCCAGGACTGAGCTAGCATAAATACTGAATTACTTACCACCTCTAGAGAGGGTGGTCCCTCCAGGCCAGGGTTGAGCTCATGGGCAAGGCTGTGCAAGGAAGCTGTCTGTACAATGCCTGGCCTGCGGATATACAGAGGACTTCAGTCTCCTGTACTGTCAATCTCATTCAGCATGAGCTCAAATATTCACCAAAAAATTAAGGACCAAATTCTGCCCTCAGATGCCTATGTGTAGCTCCCATTTATAATGATGGGAACCACAAATACATACATCCAATGACAGAATCTGACCCTTAAAAATGTGTGTTACGTACTAAACCCACCTACACAAAGGAGTACGATCATTCTCTAAAGAAGTCTGCAACATTAAACAAAACTCATTTCAAGCAACTTCTTTTCTGCATGTATTGTATCAACAAACCATACACTATAAATCTCTATTAACTTTAGTAAGACGTTGAGTGGCATGTGATTTTAAAGCATGATTTTTCTTCACATGGGAATTTTAACATCATGAACGAAACGGGAATGAAATTAATGTCAAATACTTTATGACACTGTTTTGGCCCTATGAAGTGGTGATTAAGACACTCCTAAATCTTGTCCTGGTTAAAACAGAGCCTAGCAAGTCTCATGGAGTGGAATGTTTGATTTTGATAGGCAGCTTTTGTCAAATTCTGATTCTTAATTTTTCTTTAGTCTATGGATTTGTGAAACTGTGGGCAAATGTGATTGTTCCACTACCTGGCTTCCATGACTTAATGGTTTCAGAACCTTTCATGCATAAATATCACTCCTCCAGTTACAAATCATAGCACTGAGCTTTTGGCTCACTGCAGAGCAGAATGAGGGTCAATCCTCAAACACTTGTCTCTGAAGCGGGGGACTCAGCGTGAATTGTCTTAGTCCATGCACACCTCCACATCAGTTACCGGGATTGCCACTTACCATGGCTGTCTGTATGGAGAGCTAATAACAAAACTGTAGCCTTCTCATTTCCAACCAATGTCTCCTTAAGCACAAGAACAGAGTTATCTAACTTATGGACTAGTGGACAGGAAGGGAAAGGAGACTTAGAATTAAAAAGAAAAAGATTTCATTTGAAGCAAATCACATAAGTACCAGACATACAAAGGAAGGGAGATCAATAGGTAACTGTTCTTTCCTTGGTTTCAGGGTACACTTGTTACCAGCCAACTATATCAGGTTACTCACATCAGAACCTGGAGCTCGGCCTTGCTCCCTCAAACTCCTGCCCTCACTCCCTTATCCTTCCACCCCTCGACACGCACACCATATTCTCGTATTGAGGAAACTCCGTGTCTGGCCTGGAACAACTCTGTCTTGGGAAGCCGACTAGCATTTGTAAAGTGGGACCTCCCCAAATCAGAAAAAAACAGCTAACAGCCTGAGAACCACATCAGTCAGCCTAACATGAATTCCATTTGTAAGAAAAGAACATATCAAAAGATATTACTTACATGTATGAGTCTTCTTTGTTACAGAAATACCTGGAGGGAAGAAATGATACCATTGTTAGGAAAGACACCACTGTAAATTTCTTTGATATATATTTCATTGTTAAACTCTTATTTCAGATGTATGGCTGTCACTATAAAGAGAAAGGAACATTACATTGGTTTCAACATTAGAAACTGGAGCGTCTCACTTTTCTTGTGCACAGGTTTTAATGTTATTTTTATATGTTCAGCCTACACCCCCATAAATGAAGGCTCAAATGTGTATCAGTCAGAGGTTGTTGACCAAAATCTTGTTCATGTTAAAACATTTTGAAAGAAGAGACTAATCTAAAAGGCAGGTTAATTAACAATGCTATGAACAGAGGCCCCTTCCTTTTATTTCCCATGGTCAAGAATTTTCCCACACTCATATCAACCAATGCACGTCAGCCTACCCAGACAGAACAGATTTGAGCAAGACAGTGATTCATTTGCTATGGTTATTAAGTTCAAGTAGTCTCTTCACTACACGCTCATTAAAACCAAATGAACAGCATTCTGAATATGAGTTTAGTGGCCACTATTCTAAGCTGGATGCAAATATCTACAACCTGTTATATCTATATTTCCTTAACTAAGATGTTTAGATGTTTTCATGCTACAGAGACATGTGCTAATGTAGTCACCAGAGATGGTCCAGCTCCAGCAAAATCTGAGAGGCCTTTTAAAGAAAGCAACACAGCAAACAGAACTAGGCAAAATACCTAATACCAAATAAAGATAACATTAACTCAGATAAATGTCATCGGAATTCATGCTTAAATATAAACAATGTTGTCTCCACTTTAATAGATAACTGGTGCTTTACTCAGAGCTCTCTCATTATTTAAGCTTCATTCTCCTTTGGGGACAGTCTATGAAAGGGGAAAGAGGTTACTGGAAGTAGTATAAGCATTTGAAACATTTAGTTTGTGATTAAGACCTGAAATGAAATCCCAGATTTGTTTAGCTTACAATTTATGAAAGAAAGACAGTTCCTTATCTCCTTGATCTGCCTAAAACAAATGCATGTGAAAAGAACAGAAGTCCCCTATTACTTTGTTAAGGAATCCTGCAGAGAAACATGATTTGTTACGATCCACAAACATGGGGCTATAGTATTTGTAAGTATAGGAGGTAACTTCTAAGTGTTCATATTTTGGTATATACGTAATGCCATATTGCCAACCCAAAGCATTAAAAAATCCCAAGTTCTATTTTAATATGAGATATTACATTTAGGTATTATATGTGCTTTTTTGAGCACTTTTAGAGCTTCTGTTTAGAGAAGATATTTTTGCTTCAATCATAGAAGCAATAAAATTTTTCTTCCAAAGGAAAACTAACAATCTCATATCACCAGGAAAAACACCAAATATAACAACATAGGCAAAATTAATTGAAGGGTCTGATTCAGAGATGTGGAGTAAAATAAGCAGTAAGAGATGGAAATAAAGTCATACCTCTGACATGCAGGATACCTGAATATTTGTACAACAGCCCCAGTCAGAGTCAGGCCTCCATCATCCTAGCCCCTGAACAACATATAGGAAATATGGTCCCAACTCCATGCTGCTTTTAAACCAACCTTGGCAACAAACAAAGTAAACAATAGGACTGAAGTGTTGTGGGGAGAGGGATGGGGAGGAGTAACAATAATAAGATTATGTGATTATCCAGGTAGCTAATGTACAACTGCAACGTTCACAATTACCCTACAGACTTATTTTTAATAAATACAAGTCAGCTTTGTCTAACTGTTTCACAGGTCCAGTATTACAGTTGTGGATGATAACTTGAAGCCACTGCAGCACAAAGTGGTGGATAGAAAGAGACAGTAGTAGTGGTTTTCTGGGTTAAATTAGTGGGACTTGTCTAGGCATAAAGAACAGCATGAACAAAAGGGGCTGGTTCCATTTCATGGGGAAGAGGAGTGTGAGAGCAACATAGTGAACTAAGCACAGAAGCAGAGAGACACATCTACAAGGGCTCTTGTATGTGGAATGAGAAAGCCAAAATCAATTATGGACAGATTTCAAGACAAAGACAACACGATCAGAGTGAACCAGAATATTGCTAGTAGCTGTACAGAGAAGGATGCATTATGCAAGATATCTAAGAGCAAGCACCAAGGCAGGCAGGTTTGAGACTGAAAGAAGACTGGAGGCTAGTCAGAAAAGGAAAGGTACAGTGATGTGTCAGTGTAAAAGCAGGAGGACAAGAGTATTACTAATGCCCTGCCATGAGTGACTCAGAGTGAGAACTGAAGAGGGGATGAATACACCAAAATCTGTATTTGACCTAAAGCCATATAAAGCACATTATATTTATCTGCACACCCTTTCAAACTCCTATATCTACCTATGTGTCCTTTCTAAGGCCTTACTTGGACTTTAAGGCTAGGGACAGAAGTTACACATAAATTAATGTAAGTGATCAGAAACTGGTTTAAACCTGTAACAGAACAGATGTTCAGTGCACATAAACCCGTTTCAAAATAGCTGAAACTGGTTTAAGATAAACCTGGTCCGATGTAGCATCAGACTTAACTGATTTGGGTTAACTGGTTTATGAAACTTCTGTCCCAGACCCCTTCCTGTTCAAGTGAAATCAGAGTCCCCCAGCATGCTTTGCAGCCCTGGGCTGGGCTGAGCTGTTTGGTCCAGATAGCAGGGCTGGCCCCACCCCTCTGCTCCCTAGCTGGAGCAGTGAGAGCTGGCTGACAGGGAGTGGGGCAAGCCCAGCTGGGAATGCAGCCCAGTCTACAAGGGGTGGACTGTCCCCACCCCCGCCCCTGCAAAACCCCAGCTGGAGTCTGGGGCCAGGGAGGGGGGTTAAACACCCCTTCCCCTGCTTAAACTTATTGCTGGCTGCACCTGTGGACTACAGATCCCAGAGGCACCTAGAACAGGAAGAGGACATTATGACGAGCAACCCTGCAGAGTCCTGCTGCTGTAACTCTGGACTGCAAACCCCAGAGACCTCAGGGACAGCAGGAAAAGAAGTGAACACAGAGCCAGAAAGCCATGCTCTCGCACTCACTGGCTTCTGGCCTGAGCCACCACAGACATGTGACTGCATTTCCAGAATCAAAACTGAATGTCTGTTCACTTTCTTATTAGTTCAATTTTTGCAGCTTAGACTAACCTGCAAAGACTGAATCGATTCAGCCTTGGGCTTTTTGACTGTCTGAACCTAGCGAATATGGAAAGGTAGAGCCTATATTGAAAGAATGGTAGAAACATCCATTCTTTAACTCTAGGAAAATATCTTTGTCGTTCTCTGCTTCCTTAACCGACCAGCACAACAGCAACCAGAACCCTTTGCAGAGCCTTTCATTGCTATGAAAAGTTCTTGATAAAATTTCCTTGGCAGAAGCCCTCTTTTCTGCCCCACACTATTTGACTAGCCCCAAGAGTCTGAGGGGTATTTTACAGAAGGGTGAACGCAGAAAAGAGTTTTTAATTTGAATGCCATTTGCAAGCTCACTCTCTCTATGCCGGTGCTAATAAATTGATACATCAGTGCTCTTTCAGCATTATGGGAGCCATATGTGTACTTTTCTCAGAAAATAATGCTTTCTGTAAAATCACTTTGAACAGAAAGTGCTTATGCTGTCACTTCTGATTACTCACAGCCTCTTCACAATGGGATTTGCCACAGCACAAAACAGACTTAGCTGTATTCGCTGACTGAGGAACTACCTTCTCCTGATGTATGAAACACTGATGGAAATATCAATGCTTAAATTTTTCTTAAAACTCCTTGTATAAGTCTGGTGGATTTTCCCAATGAAATGTGTCCATAATAATTATAAATTAGCATCTGATATGACTTAAGATCTTTCAGGCATATATTTTTCTGACATTCTTTTAAAAATATCAGCTCAATAGCAATACATTCTGTTATCACACTGGCAATCACAGTGCATAAACCAAAAATATTTCAATTTTAATTGAACTTCAGAGAAAGAGTATGTACCTACACACACTTTTGCTACTGACTTTAAACAGGACTATAGGAATCTTTTAATTAATTATTTTACTTATAAGTTTCAAAGGAGTTTCCACATGTATAAATTGAACACGGGGAAAAAGCTGAACAAATACTGTATTGGAGAAGTTACCAATTTAACACAAAGTAAGTAGTTTTCTTTCTAGGCCACTGTGTATATCTTGGGTAGATATAAGGCAGGAGGCCAAAAGTTCAGCAATTCTAACCACCAAAAAATATATAGCTCTTAGAAATACTCATTACATTATGAAAAACATTCACAACTAAGCCTAAACTCAGTTTATATAAACTAGGAACTGTCATGAACCTGAAACCTCAGTCTCCTGGCCCTTGGCAACTCCATTTAATGTCCATTTTCCTATGCCTTTTATGGACTTTACCTTCTTAGGCTTATGTACACAATTTGTCAATTCTGCTGAAATCAATGGGTATATTTAAAGACCTAATTTCTACAAAGTCTAACTATACAATCATGTCTTTATTCACAATTAGCTTCTTTCTGTTCAGTGGGATTACTCAAGTTTATAAGTATGTGCAAGATTTGGCCCTACATGTCTACATATCTGAGAATATGTCTAAGGTGAACTGCATGGCAACCCATGCCTCAGCACTGGATCAAAGTTCAAGGTATTTCTGAAGCAAGGTACAATGCTTTATTTTTTTAAACAAGTGGCATTTACTCAATCCTTTGACCCTATTTAAAATGTTTTTGAATGTAAATTTCAAAATTTGTAAAGAACCAGATTATGGTACATGTGTTTCACTTTCTACATGTGATTCACTTCACAATGTCATATTCTGGAGTAATGTGTGACCACTTAATATGTTTAGCACTGCCCTAAAGTGCCATTTTTTCTTTCTGCTTTTAACTAAAGGAAAAACAGGAGCCTCAGTGTTGCTAATACAGAAAGACTTCCTGACTTCAACCAACCAGACTTCAAAGTAAAGCAAAGGAAATGTCATGAAAATACCACAATATATCACTGCCGTGGTTATCAGTGAGTGAAAGTTTCAATATTACAGTAATCACAGAGTTTATCACTTCAGCAGTGCAATTTGACATTCCTGATCAATGCCTAATCTTAGACAAATTAACTTCTTAGATGGCATTCTTATTGCGTGTTGCTATGCAATTCTCTATGCAGCCACAATCAATTTTATTTTTTATAGAAAATAATTTATACATTTCTTTTTCCCTCCCACTAAGTATACATAATTTGCTTTTGTGAGTGGTATTTACAGAAATAGCTTTCTGCGTGCAATGAACTTGAAGAG